CAGGGTCGCAGCTCGCCTCAGGAAGGTTGAAGTGCACTCTTCAATCTTCTCTCTTGTCTCTGCTCCAAACCATCAGCTAATTTGCTAAGGTTCTGTCCTTTCAGCCTCCTTCTGGACGGGAGCTTCTGTAAAAAGCTGGCTGCAGTTCGCCATCTTGGCTCCACCCTCGATACAGAACTTTTTTAAAGAAAAGTGAACATTTGGGAATTTGATGTCTACCACATAACTAATGAGTGTGCATTTCATATAGGTATTGGGAAATGAGAGAACAGCGCACCCCCACCTTGAAAGGCAAGCTCGTCCAGAAGGCGGATCAGGAGCAGCAAGACCCCCTGGAATACCTTCAGTCTGACGGGGAGGATGATGAGAAGAGCGGGGCCCAGCGCCGCCTGCAGGAACAGCGGGAGCGCCTGCATGGAGCCCTTGCTCTCATAGAGCTCGCCAACCTGACAGGGGCGCCGCTCCGACAGTAGCTTGGACACTGACTCTTCCACTGTACAAAAGTACTGCCCAGCATACTTAAAAAGTAGATCCTTGGGCATAAGCTAAGCACCTTACTTGCTTATAATAGCTGCTATTCTGTAGAAATTTATGAAGAATGTTATTGCCCCAGAATATGGGGTGAGAGAGAAATGCACTTTTTTATATGGAAATGGATTGATGTAAAGTTTTAAATATTTTGTAAATATGGATTACATAGTACAGGGTAGAAAACTATGTATTGTGGGAAGCTAGATTTTGCAAGTTTAATGCATTCATTGGAAGCAGTTCTCACAGGAAGCACTTTCTGAATAAGACACTTGTGTGAAAAACAGAATGGTACAAATAGCCAAAGAAGGTGAAGTAGGTTATTTATAAGATCATTTTTAACAATGTATATTAGTATGTTTAACAATACTGTAAACACTGAAGCAAGCAAGATACAGTATCTGTAAAATAGTGTGCCCACTAAGGTTGGAGAAATGGGAAGCTGACTATTTTGGAAGATATTCTAAGTTATGGATTTGGTAAAAATAGGTATTTCAGGATCTTGGTAAGATGCACAATAATTCAGAATTTTCAAAATTGGAGTAAAATCAGTCTTATTCTATCTTTCTGGGGCTTTACAACTCACTATAATGTTTAAGTTTGAAAAGCACTTGTCATCCCTAGCATGTACACTTGGGATCTTTTGCACATTTCATATTTCTCATTTGCTGAAATTGAGTGATTAATCTTGCAAAGTCTAGGTAACATGGTAATTGGTGATTTTTTTTTTAATATATTATGGGCCCTGTAATGAGATTTGGCACTTGGATTTTTATTAATAAAAGGGACATCTACAGGGTTGTTTTGTAGTGAAATGTTTTAGATCTTCTGTTAGCAAACACTAAATTTTAATTGTACTGCTTACTTAGAATTATTAGCAAATGGAAGCCTCCATATTTATATTTTCAGTGCATAAAGCCACCTTCTTGCTTTACTTCAGAATAACATGCCAAGCTGTTTTGTGTTCACTAAATTTAACTATCAATTAAACACTGCAGAAAATATTAGCTAGTCAAATAAGTAGGATTCTGAAATAGTTTTTAACTGCAAGTGTGTGAACTTGTGTGGTGGTTTTAACCATTTTTCCAGATAGATGAAGTTATTAGACACCACTTATGTACTGAAGCATGAACATGAAAATCAAGAGCTGAGCAGACCACCTCCTTTATGTAGGCAAAACCTTCTATTGGTTTGGCTTGTGTTATAAGCAGAACTAAATGACATGCATAGCATGGTAATTTATAGATTGCTTAATTGGAGTAAAACTCAGACTACTGGAGGGAAATATGGACTCTTCATACTTTTGAATTGAAGTGCTATCATACAGATGTAGTTTAAACATTGTCTAGAATGTAGGCTTCTTTATCCAAAAATCTTAATGTGTTGCAGTACACAGATAGTATGAAATACATAGCCATGGGGAAGGGGAGATAGGTAAATGTCTTAAAGAGGAACAAAAATATGAGAGAAGATACAATAATTACAAATAATGTGTATGATGAGGACATACTTTAAAAATGTAATTCCTCTGTACAATAAATTACAAATCTTTCAGGATTTTTTTAAATAAGAGAATTTATATTTGTAATGGTCTAAGAATTTTGTTTGTAATCTGGTATATAGAATTTTAACTTGGAGCACTTATAAGCCCGGTAAGAGAGACTATATAGCATCTGAATTTTCTTGGTTTAGGTTTCAACATTTCCTTTAGAATCTTTCCTCTTAAATGCAATTTAAATGATCTAAAAGCCAACACTCATCAGTCTTGCGAAATTTAAAATTGGATAAACTCAAGAAGGAAGGACAGTCAGAATTTTTAAAATACAAATATTTGCCAAGTTAGAGATGATAAAATTTAAGGCCTTAAAACAGTAAGGGTTTGTTTTTGTTTGTTTCTCCAGTCAGCTTTTGTAAACTCTAATAGTTATATTCACAAACATTTTTTATTTGTATAATTGGAACAGTTTAAGAAATTATTACAACTATTTACTATAGAAGCATTTAAAATGTTCTTTTTGATATAAGCTATATACTTGGACAAAATACATTGTTATCTAAAATTCGAGGTGTGTTAAGACTGCTTTTTGTTTTAAAAAATGTGGTTTACATTCAAATTTTTGAAGTGTTTTATGCTTCATATGGCTAAGTTGTAGTTTGGCAAAGTTAACAGCATAAGAATAAACATGCTGTAATTTTAAAAGATGCTTTGAATAAAAATTTATTTTAATTTAAAGTTTATAAAGTATATGGTCATTCTTGAAACCTTTATGTTTTGTTTTCCCATCAAAAATACAATAACTATGATATAGCTTTTAAAAGAAACATCACTTCATAGCCCTACATTCATTCATCAGTATTATTTCAGTGCATTTTATATTTCATTCCAGTCTCATCCCAGGCATTTCTTTTGCACTGTTGAAATCATAGTGTAGACTGCTTTTTCCTTAAAGGTATGGCATTTTTTTTTTTTTTTTCAGTTTTTGGCTGGGGCTGGGTTTGAACCCACCACCTCTGGCATATGGGGCCGGCGCCCTACTCCTTTGAGCCACAGGTGCCACCCAAAGGTATGGCCTTTTAGATTATAGACATTTAACTTCCTCATCTGATTCATTATTACAGTATTAAAAATATGCTGATGTAGATAAGTATAAGACCTTTGCTTGCCCTACCTTGGTCCTAATTTAGGACCAAGCTTGCCCTTGGATTTCACTTACACTCAAGATGAGTTGTATCTAGGGTTATCTCCCCAAGAATCCACTTGAAGTCTGTTTACTTTAATTGAGTCCAGCAAATCTGTTTTCTTTTTTCATCAGTTATTTTTGGTAGATCTTTAGTTGTGGACTTGGCAATGGCAAGGATCAGCCTGTCCTTGTTCTTGCAAAAGAATCTTACAAGATTTTGTCCTTGCAAAAGAATCTTACAAGAAACTTGTCCTTGCAAAAGGACAAGTTTTGTCCTTTGTCCTTGCTTTGTCCTTGCAAAAGAATCTTACAAGAAACTCTTTAGTGTGAGTTGTGATTTAAACAGCATAAGGATGGGATTTTGATAGCAACTCGAGGTCCTGGAATTATGTACATAGAGGCAAATTGCATGCAATTATGATGAAGGCCATCATTAAAAATGGCTCTGAAATGCTCATTTGTAGTCAACATATTTGGAGACTCACTGGAAATATTCTTGATCTTTTTGAGGAAATTCACGAAAGGACTTCAAGTTCAGCCTTTTGGTTCAATTTTAATACAAATTCATTTTCTCTTACAATGAACTTATGTGTGTTTGTTTTCTTTCTTGTTTTGGATAATTGGAGCTCTTGGTCTTTCAGTGGTAACTTTTTCAGCAGCTATACTTTAGTTCTTTCTTATCAGGGCTGAAAATTTTTCCAGTTTTCAGTTTCAGTCTCTTGGTTTTTCAGTACTTAACAGTAGAAAGGCAATTGTCTGGGCCCCAACTTTTATTTAACTTGAAATTTTCAATTTTCCAAAAAGCTAAAACTACAGATTTTTGAAGTTAATTATTTAGAATCAAAGTATGGGGCACAAAGCAATTCCCGAAGGTTCTTCCTTTAATTTACCAAGTGGGGAGAGAACCTACCATAAAGCACCCAGAGGCAAAAAAAAAGCCCTGAGATTTGACTTATCTTACACCTCGACACTCCATCTCTAGGTATTCACGGAGAAAAGAGAACAAGCGTCCACACAAACACTTGTCTTCACGGAAGCATTTTTCATAATAGCCCTAAACTAGAAAAAACCAACAGGCTATCAACTGGCAAATAAATAAACTTGGAATACCGTTCAACAATTAAAAGAAACATGGACGAGTCATAAAAATAATAAACGGAGCAAAAAAAGCCATAAGAGTACATAATGACTTGTAAGAAGTTCTAGGAAAGACGAATCTACCTACGGTAATAATCAATGAGAAGGGAGATTACAGGGGCACAATGGGAGCTCATGGGGGTGATGGAAATGTTCTGAGTGGTTACTGAGCTGAATGCATTTGTCGAACATGTCAAACTGTGGACTTGTAAAAAGTGTGCGTTTCATTGGAGGTAAACGACATTAAACAAAAACTACTGCAGAAAAAAAGCGAAACAAACCCTAAGACATCCTGAAATGTTTCTGCCCAAGAGAGCAGCCTGAATGGGAGAAGGTGGGGCTTTTCAAGTCTCCCAGACGCTTTTCTGGACTTGCTTTAGACAGTCAGAGGGAGGTGACCAGGTCCAGGGTCAAGACCCGGCGCGCAGGATCGTCCGGGCCGGCTTCGGGGCGCTGGCAGGGGGCGGGCCGGGATCTGAAGTTTGCGCCGGGGCCCTTCCTGTTCCTGCCGCGCCCTTCTCCCCGCCGGCCGGGAGGGCGGGACGGGGCTGGGCTGGGGCCCGCGGGCCCGGCCAGTGTGCGGCCGAGGCGGGAGGGCGGCGGGTGTCCGTGCGGCCGCGGGTCATGACGGCTGGCGACCAGGCCGAGGGCGCGGGCGAGGAGCCCGGCGCAGTGCGGCCGCCCTCCGGAGTGGCCAAGCTGCTGTCGGCGCTCTTCTACGCGACCTGTTCCTTCCTCATCGTTCTGGTCAACAAGACGCTGCTGACCACCTACGGGTGAGGCGGGCCCGGGATGCAGCGGGGTCTGGGGATGCCGGCCGGGCCTGGGGAAGGCGCCCCGGACGCGGGGAGCGCGGGCTGCCCTTGCCCTCCGTGAGCTTTGGCCGCGTCCGGGCCAGCCTGCGGGTGGGACGCGGAACCAGGACTCTCATCTCTGCGCCTTGACTCAGCTTTCACAAGGGCCCTCCTGGACCTTCGCAACTTTCCACACACGAAAACCACAATCTTACAAAATCAGTCCACTCTTATCGAACCCGGGCACACAGCGCTCCTTGCTGCTGTGGACACGCTGCTCAGCTGTGCTTCTAGGGCTCAGCCAAATGCTTCCAAATACACCAGTGAGCTGATCCAAATGTATGTGATGAAGTGAACAATTCCTTATACAAATCTAGGTGTTCAACAATTAGTCCTGAGCCAGTAAGTCTATTTTGTATCGATTAACCTTTGATTCTCAAATTAGCACGTTCAGGGAAAACAATTAGAAGTTCATAGGATGTACTGTTGGGGATTGGTGTTAAAGTAAACCAGCAAATTTGTGGTTTCTTGAACTTATTGAAAATCCTGTTTCATTCTTCTAGTATTATAGCAGCACTGAAAGAATTGTGGGTTCAGACCCAGCCTGCGCCAGTTAATACCTCACAGTCTCTTGGGCCAGTCCCATACATAGTAATTTTTTCAGATGTAAATGGATAATTAATTACGACCCAGTTAATTACCTTCCAGGGCTTTGCATAAGCTGTCATAAGTGAAGTTGCTTTGTAAATTATACTGTGCTGCAAAAATGTAACATCAAAATCTTAGAACCCAAAGAGAAGTAAGAGAGTATCTTCAGCTTTATTTCATGTTTGAAGAAAACTGAGACCCACATGAACTCAATTGGTTGCAGCTCCAAGAAACATTTACTGAGCGCCTCTGTGTGCCAAACTCATTGCAGGCACCAGGGAAGCAGCTGTGCAGAGTTCCTGCTCTGCTCTTTGAGTTTCAGTGGTGGGGACAGAAAATAAACACATAGGTTCATGAATAAACCAGGCAGTTTCAGATATGACAGCAGAATGCCCAGGTGGAGTAGTTGTCAACAGAGCATTCCAGGAGAAGAGAGCAGCAAGTGCAACAATGTGAAAGTGGGCATGCGTTTGGCCTGCTGGAGGGACATAGAGAAGGGCACTGTTACTGGAACTGAGTGAGTGAATGCCAGAAGGGACGTAGGCAGGGAGGAATCAGATCCTTCTTTCATTCCATAATATTTACTAAGCACCTACGGTGTGCCAGGCACTGTCTGGGCACTTGGGAGAGGGAAGTGAACAGAATGGATCAAAATCCCCAACCTCGGGCAGAGCCTGTGGCTCAGTCAGTGGGGCGCCGGCCCCATATACTGAAGGTGGTGGGTTCAAACCTGGCCCTGGCCAAAAACTGCAAAAGGAAAAAAAAAAAAAAAGCCGGGCGTTGTGGTCCCTGTAGTTCTAGCCTGTGGTGCCTGTAGTCCTAGCTACTCTGGAGGCTGAGGCAAGAGAATCACCTAAGCCCAATAGCTGGAGGTTGCTGTAAGCTGTGACACCACAGCACTCTACTGAGGGCGATAAAATGAGACTCTGTCTCTACAAACAAACAAAAATCCCAACTTCATGGAGCTTACATCCTAGTGGACCAATAAATAAACTAGTAACATTTATATTATGTCAGATGTGACCAGTGTTCTAGAGCAAAAAATAAGGCAGGAAAGGGTATTGGGGAGTGTAGGAGTGGGAGAGAGTTTGCTTTGCAGTTTTAGGTGGTGTGATCAGTGTAACCTCACTGAGGAGGTGATGTTGGAGCTGAGACTTGAGCCTGGGATAGACAGTCCAGGTGTGGAAGGGTGAAGAGTTTAGGTGGGAATGGTACTGAGTTGCAACTGAGAGCAACAATTGCTGGACAGTGTGGGCCTTGGAGGTTACTGTGAGGGCTCTGGGCTCTGGTCTTGAATGAGATGGGAGCCATGGGAGGTGTCAAGCAGGGAAGTAACATGATCTAAATCACACTGGCTGTTATGTTGAGAGCAGATATTGGAGGACCAAGGTGGAAGTAGGGATTTTGTGAATAATTTTAAGGCTGGGTGGGGTGGCTCACACCCGTAATCCTAGCATTCTGGGAGACAGAGGCTAGAGGACCTCCTGAGTTTAGGAACTCAAGCCTGAGTAAGAGTGAGAGCTCCATCTTTACTAAAAGTAGAAAAATTAGTTGAGCTCATGGCCAGCACTGAAGTCCCACCTACTCGGGAGACTAAGGCAGGAGATCACTTGAACCCAGGAGTCTGAGGTTGCTTTGAGCTAAACTGACACCGTGACAACAGAGTGAGACTCTATCTCAAAATAAAAATAGTTTTAGTTTTAGGCTAAATGCAACTAGAAGCCACTTGGAAGGTTTTAGCATGGGAGTGACCTGACATAATTTGAGTGATTCAAAAGACTTCTTTGGCAATGGGTGGGTGGAAAACTGATGGTACTAGCAGTGGGGACAGGGCCTAGGAAACCGTTGAGGTACTCCAGGTTTAGGCTTGGACTGGGTGGGGTGTGACAGTGCATGTGAAAGGAAAGGATGAATTTGGGGTACTTTTTCTTGATCCTATGGCTGTTGATGCTCTTTACGAGATCTCTACAAGTCTGGGTTGCAGCAGGCCAGTTGGTGTCTATAGGAAACACGAAGTTTGTAAACCTAAGGCTGAATCATTTAACACATAAACTGCAAGCTGAAAGAAAGGAAGAGAGAGAGAGAGAGAGAGAGAGAGAGAGAAGGAAAGAAAGAAGGAAAGAGGAAAGCAGGAAAGTGGGCAGTAGTTAGGTCAAATGAAGGCTGAAGATAAGTCTCTACTTTGGGCCCTTGAGTGAGTGAGGTGCTGACTGGCCACAGCAGTCTGTGCCTCTGAATACACATGTTCTCTTGTTGGAAGCAAGTGCCAGTAAACCCTGGCTGATGCTTTGAAGGGGAAGGGCAGTGTCCAACCAGAAAGAAATATATGAGACATTGTATGCTCAAACCTTTCCATCTTTAAAATTTTGAGTTCTATAATTGAAGGAGAAAATGAAGATTTTTGCCTCGGGAAAGCAAAAACCCTTGTAAACCTTATAAATATCTCACATTTCTGTAGTCTAGTGTATCACACAATTGGAGAACCCTGTTCAAATAACATTGTTCATTCTCTCCTCTCAAAATGCTTTAGGCACAATTTTTTGAGGGGAGGAGGTTTGGGGTGATGTAGTTACAACAATAAACCATAGAAATCTGATCTAAGCATTAGCTGTTTGAAGATAGAATGTTGTGTTGTAGGATAAAGAAAGGATCTTTTGGTAATTACCTAATTCACAGGGTCACAGGAATTTAACTCTGGGAATGGTTTTCTCTCTTCCATTTTGGGCAGATTGTTTTTGATTGGAGTATAAAACCAATGGGTGGCCTTAGTTACTTTTTTGTGGCCAGTGGTTGCACATGTGGTCATTCAGGATCAGTTTCATGAGGTGGGCCGATGGTCAGGAGTTGGTTTTTTTTTTCTTCCCATTATGTTTATTTATTTGTTTATTTTTAGTTTTTTGGGACAGAGTCTTATTCTGTCACTGTGGGTAGAGTGCTGTGGCATCATAACTCACAGCAAATTCAAACTCTTGTGCTCAAGCAGTCCTCCTGCCTCAGCCTCCTGAATACCTGGGACTATAGGCACCCACCACAATGCCTGGATAGGTTTTTTTTTCTTCTTCTTCTATTTTTTAGTAGAGACTGGGCCTCACTCTTGGCTCAGGCTGGTCTTGAACTCTTGAGCTCAGGTGATCCACATTTCCACTTCCCAGAGTGCAGGTTTTACAGACATCAGCCACCATGCCGGGCCTTTTTGTTCCACTTTAATATTATACTCTATGACATGAAAGAAATTACTAATGATGTTTAATAAAAATGTCAACATTAGCTGTATTCAATTCAAATATTTGCTCAGGATTTGCTGTGTACATGTATCTCATTAGGTATCACTGGACTTTGAGCTCTTTTAACCTAGGTGTTTGCAAATATGCCTGGAAGACTGAATCACATGGGGAGGTTTTTAATAAAAGCTACTGATTCCTGAGTCTTCATTGAAAGGGAACTGAAAGTCTACATTCTGAAACAAAACCAACTCCTAATTTTCTCTTAGTTTAATGAAAACCTGGCTCATTCCAGAAGAGGCTACTCCCTTCATTCCCCTCAAATGGGGCTGAATCTTCATCTCACCCCCATGCCTTAGTCGGGAGGTAGGGTTGGGCCCTCTTAGCTTCACACTGCTCATGCTCTGTTGAGACTAGCTTTTTGTCCCTCTGTAATGGCTCTTGGTGGCTGATTTAGTGAAGTCAGTCTTCTCCTCTTCCTTGTCTCGGGCCAGCTTTCTCGTGGCTTTAGGATCTGCGTACTGAACCATCATGGTCTAATCTTGTCTCCAACAAGCTCTCCTGTGCTCCACCTCCCACAGCTGCTCCCAGGACCCCATCTTCACAAGTAAGCACACCTCTATGTTAACAGAAACCACTTCTAACTTCTGTGATATAATTTAAAGATGTTTATGCGACCATGGTCTGAGTGTATGCGACCATGGCCCAGAGCACATGTTCTCAAGAGGTTCTAAAAAAATGTGCCCACAGTAGAAGGCAGTTTGGCTTTATACATCCATGGAAACAAGAATTACTTGTAAAAGATCTTAAGTTAATATGTAGAAGGCATACATTGGTTTGGCCCCTAAAGACAGGACATCTTGAAGGAGGGTGAACATAAAGGTTATAGGTGAACTTAAAGATTCTTTGGTCTGTAATTGGGTAAAGAAATGAAGCTCTGTCAAAAGGCTCGGAATGTTTCAAGTTAAGATAAAGAAGTCTGTTAATTAGAGACAAGCCACAGACAGTTGCCTAGACATAACCAGACTCAAGTGACCTATTAAGTAAATTGATGGCCTTCACGTGTGCTTTAAGTTTTGTCTTGCATGGCCTTAGGCCTGCCAATGAGTAGTT